TATTTTTAATGTTTGGGAACAAAAAAAAGTCATTAGGTGATAAATCATGTGAATACGTACAATGAGTCATCAATTCGACATTATTACTGGATAAAAAAATCAACGGTTTGACGTGCTGTGTGACAGCTGGCGTTGTCATGATGAAGGATGATGCGACGATTTCGGTTTGTTCTATGCAATTCATTTATGACTTCTGGCAAACAAATTGTTGTATACCAATCAGTATTTACAGTAGTCCTTCGATCCTCTAAAGCCATGGTTGTCACATGTCCAGTATAACCGAAGAAACAAGCAATCATTTGCTTGGCAGCACTGCGTGAACGAACAACTTTTGTTGGTTTCGATTCATTTTGAAATACTCAAACAGTGGATTGTTATTTACTTTCGGGCTCATATGAATAGATCCATGTTTCATCCTCAGTAACGATGTTGTAGACCAAATTTGACCGACCTCGGTCGAATTTCTTTGCTCCATTTAACACGAGCCTGTTTTTGAGCTTCGGTCAAATTGTGTAGGATCCAACGACTGCAAAGTTTCCGTACGCTCAAGTGATCATGCAAAATCGTATGTATTGCTTTCATGTCAATGCCTAAGGATGCTTGAATCTCGCGGTATGTTATATGCTGGTCTCGCTCAATCATTTCACGCACAGCATCAACATTAGTGACAACAACAGATGACAGTGGATGGACGACCTTCACGGAATTCATCACTAAGAAAGGTACGTTCACGTTGGAATTCAGCAAACCAATTATAAACAGTTCTATTGGATGGTGCTTCATCCCCAAAAGCCAAATGAATTCGATCGATGCATTGTTTCGGAGTTAGATTACATTTGTAATCATAAAAAATCATTGCCCGAAAATTTTCACGCGAAATTTCCATTTTCTTACAAAATAACTTTTTTTAAAATACTGTGCAAACAAAAGTAGTTGGCTTGGTCAAACTGTCAATTGAATTATAGGTTAAAAACTTCTAATTTTATGGGTATGATAGTAGCAGAACGTTGGCGCCACTGGAAGTACTAGATTGCAGAAACTTTTCCAGCAGCCTACGTATAAGATGAGTGAGATTTGAATCTGTAATAGAAATTTGCTTTCTTTCTCTAATGCGTCTACTCCTGCCTTGTAAATTAACATTAATTTCTCTTGAATGAGGAAATTACGACAGATGATTACGTATTGAAACGCATCATCTTTTAACATGTTTAACTCGATATTGAACTTAGTATTAGGAAGTTGCCCAATAATTAGATTAGAATATACGATGCCGCACGTAACAATTGGTAAATTATTAAAAGCTTGAAACTTACGCGTGTTTCTGCTTACATCTTTCGAATTCTCGTCGAAGAATTTAGAGTACACGCTTGCTTTAACAAATGAGACCAGGCTATCCGTGTCTACTAATTCTAGTAATGAACAAATTTTATTATTAAGTTTAATGATTTTGACATGTGAGTTACTTATCGAGAGGCTGTGTCCTTCTAATACGGTTGCTACAGTCTCCACCTGTTCCGCAGTCTCCATCCTTTTCTCATGCTCTGCTTCCTGGAAGGTCACCGCTGACACCATCTCCTTCGGTTGCATCCTTCCAGCCGCTTCCTTCTTCGGAAGTAACGGACAATCAGATCTCAGATGTCTCGTCGCCTTGCACAAGAAACAGGTGAGAGGTTGTGCTTGCTGCTTCTTTTCCTCCTTGCAATCCTTGGCGTGATGCCCTTTCTTGCTGTAACTTTTTGAAACATGTTGCTTCCATTTACTCCTCTAAAATGCCTGTAAGCGCTTCTCCATCTCCGTAGAAGCTTCCGCAACTACTCGCATTTTTTTTACGAATTCTTCAACGATGTTCACCTGAAGTGGTTACCATGGCTCTTAGCAAAGCCATTGCTGTACCTCCAATTAACAAGGTAATCATATTGTCTGAAAGGTTAAGATCGTGCATTAATGCCATTTTCTCTAATGCATAATGTTGAAATGTTTCCTTTTACGAGTTCCATCTTTTGGCCTCGACATTCCTCATACGGATAAAGAAAGATATCTTTCACTCAAACATCTGACTTCATAGACCAATCCACGATTCCAACATGAGTCCGGATTGCATCTCGTACCATTTTTTTTAGCTACTTTAACCAGCTTACTGGATGCCAATAAAGTGACTTCATCCGTTGCTCTGTGGATTTGGGCTACTTGATCCACCCGTTGTATATACACAAGCTCATTTTCTGTTTCAGCTCCTGCGAATTCTGGGATCTGCTGAGCCAACAACGTGACTGCATTTGTCGGAGACAACAAGCCAATCAAACTTGGCGTCATTGCCCGCTGTCCGACATTCCCCATTAAAAACGTGATACTTCTGCACGGTTCAGGACGGCATTACGTATTTGAACCGCCTCTTCCTCTCCGTGGCTCATCAAATTTCTGCATCTTTCTGGTGTTCTGCCATTTCTTGACGGGTTTGCTGGAATTGTTCCACTATTTCCTGGTGCTGCTGTCTCAGATTCCCGAAGGAGGTGAGGAAATTCGAGAACATTCTCTCCAACACGGTATACGCAAGATTAACGAATTGTAATAATTCTGCCTGCGAGGCTTCCTCCGAAGCTCCGTCCTTGCCGTCGAGCTCTCTCGCTGCACGGATCCTGTCTCTTCCAAGCTTCTTGCCGGTCCATTCTTTTCCAGGTGATCCATTATTGCATCAACTAAATCTCCTCTGCTTTGCAGTATTTCTTTTAATCCGAACTTGTGTGCTTCTCTTTTCAGCTGAGCGACCGAAAATTTTTCGAGATGCTGTCTTACCTTCTCGTCGCTGCATGCTCACACAAAGGATATCAACTGCCAGTCACCTTGACGTTACCGCTCCTTTGTTTTGAAAAATTCCAACGTACGTGAATCTCATTTCTGAATTAAATGTAACTATAAGGAATTTACTAGAGAGAAGAGATTCTAAATATAGAAAATATCTCCCTTGAAGGTTATGAGATCTATTCCCTAAATCTTTCCGAATTTTCCAAGGAAGCGATATAGGAAATAAATTCCGGTGTCTGGATAGACGATCAAAAGTATCTGCGATAATCATATATCTATAAAACAATATTAGACAGTTTATTCAACGAACTTTATTACAACACTCGTGCTTCTATTAACACGGCGTTCTTACTTACGGACTCCACGAGTCTTTCTTACAAATAAGGAAATTACGTTACGTATACTTATGCCTGCTTAGGCATCGCGTTCTTTCTCCCTTCGCCAATTACTCCGATTTTAGACGGGTTTATCGCGTATACGAAGACGTGCTCCGGCGGCTGACCTGAACTTTCCAGGCTCCAGTAGTCTTGATCCGTAACCGAGTACTTTGATCCGAATTTCAATTCACGATTACTCCGAATCTGGAGAGATGATTTTACGCCGCGTGGCGAAGAGGGAAAAACAACTGCTTTCGCTCCGCATGCGCGTACATATAAGCTCGATGTCCTGTCACGCTGCGCTGTCAGGTATCATTACTTGCTGGGATTAAATGTCGCGGAGGTACTATTCGCTAACGCCTCTCCGTTACCAACTTGTTTTATAATTAATCAAATTACTAGGTAGCTACAGTACTATGACTCTTTAACATTGAGTCAGAAGTCCACATAGGGGATATAGAAGAAAAAGAAACTAGAAAGCAGTCTCCGCTAGCATCGAACGAAGATTTATCAGCTGTGGAGACATTCGACGGAGTAACGTCGTGAAGCAGTCTCCAGCATTGAACAAACGTTTCATGTATATTGAAACAATATCGTCAAGTACAAAAGCTATCGTGTCTTTAAAAATGCAAGTTATAAATTACTGTTCATAATTCATTTCTTTAGTATAAAAGGAAACAGTTTATACTGGTCATTTTTATTTATAACTAACATTTATACAATATAAAAGACATAAACTTACTAAATACACGTAAAAGTTAATAGTTACCGATAAAATGTAATTAAATTAAGTTAAAAAGTTAAATGTCTAAAATCTAATTTAAAATTAATCAACTTTTTATGTTTAACTTAACTTTTAATTTTTCAATTTGACACTGCGCAACCCTTATTTATATTTCTTCCTTACTCTTATTCCTTACGCTTACAGAAGTTGTCTGGAATTCCAAATAAATGAATACAGGCGTGCTGTTCTACTCCTAAAAAAACTTGTAGGGTGGTAACATTCATTTTTAAATTAAATTAATTATTCAGAAATAAATTGAGAGCCGATAAATTATCGGATTCACACAATTATTCTGATAATCCCCCCAAATGATTGTGTGAATCCGATAATTTATCGGCTCTCAATTTATTTCTGAATAATTAATTTAATTTAAAAATGAATGTTAGTTCAACATCTTAACACTCGGAACTATAAGGCGCTTCGTATTTTAAAGTTTGAATATTTAAAACAAGTTCCATTTCCAATCATATTGTTTATCACACGCGCGTTTGTACAAGCGTATCTCACTACACATATCGGTTATTGCGAGGAATGTTGCTAAGGTCTCGGTAGTCTAAAGACTTAGGACGCTCGCACGGAATGCAAGAGATCCGGGTTCGACTCCCGGCCGAGGCAATATTTTTCGCAATAAGTTTATTACAATTTTTAAGATTTGGGAAAATTTGGGGGGATTATCAGAATGATTTTGTGAATCCGATAATTTATCGGCTCTCAATTTATTTCTGAATAATTAATTTAATTTAAAAATGAATGTTAGTTCAACATCTTAACACTCAGAACTATAAGGCGCTCCGTATTTTAAAGGTAAAATAAGAGATCTTATTTTTACAGTAACATCTACAAAATTAATAATTTTATACAATAGTAATATTTGGCTTCGGCCTTCCTCTCCAATTCTGACCAACTCTTCTACGATAATTACGACAGTAACCGTCACCACAACCACCGCCATCTAGATTATCGCCACCTTGATCATCACTATTTTTATCATCTTCACTATCATTGCAGTCATCATTTCGATATATATAGGGTTGGCCATATTCGACGGAAAGATGTGGCAACACTGTAACTTTTGACAGAGATGTTAGATCGAGTAACGACGTAGCGCGTTTGAAGCGTCAGTCGAAGGAAATTTGTGCCATGGAACAGTACACGCCACGCGAACGCTCTCAGATTGTTGAAATTTACATTCAACAAAACAAGTCAATTGTCGAAATGGCTGAAACTGACTTGAATGGCCACCGCGTTCACCAGATTTAACGGCTCCAGACTTCTTTCTGTGGGGCTATTTGAAATCAAAGGTTTATGTCAACAAGCCAAGGACCCTAGACGAACTTAAGACCAACATCCGACAGGAAATAGCCGCCATATCGGCCGAAACATTGTTCAAAACGATGGAAAACGCTGCAAAACGGGCACTACTCGCCATGCAGGCTCAAGGCGATCATTTAAGAGATATCATATTCAACAAATAATGTACACAAATCTCCTTGAACCATATTAAATGGCTTTTACAATGAAAAGCAAAAAATGTGTTTTTTTTCCCATGATTAACAAAAAAACATCTTTCCGTCGAATATGGCCAACCCTGTATTTGGCACGTCGTATCAATAATAATGGCGGAGATACCATCGGGCCCGGCTACGACCACGTCCCTGTCCTCGTTAATTTACTGATGAAATAAAAGAAAATGTAAAAATATAGTATTGTAAACAAAAATAAATATACTAAAGAAAAAAATATTAGAGATGTACTGGATATCCGATCTCCGGTTCTTTTGCTATCAACAGATATATTGTATATACTCTCTAAATCTGAATCAATGGATAGCCACTAATTAGTCCATATGCCCAGTGGCATTCTTGTCATTGATAATCAGTGAAGTTCAACTAAAAAAGGAAGAATATTTAAACATTATATAACTAAAATACTGACATTTGCACGTTAATTTCAATTTTTCATTACCATATTCATTGAATTTAAACACAAAACAAAGTTAGTTAAATCACATAATAAAGATTAGCTAGGTTAGGGATCACATTTAATTCACTGATTACCAGTGGCACACATGGCACAGATATCAGTGATTATCCACTGATACAGATTTAAAGAGTATAATAAGTAAAAGTAAGATGTTATTCGCTATCGTTATCTAATAATAATAGAATTATATTTAAATATTATAAAAATATACATACATTTCGACCATATATTAGGTCATTTTCCATGTTACATAAATTAAATAAAATCAACATTAAAATAATTCATACCACATACGAGGTCTGTTCAAAAAGTATCGCGAATTTTGTGTTTTTTCAAAAATTATTTATTTATTCATGAATATCTATTTTGTCCCCTTCAAAGTAATCCCCATCAGATATTATACACTTGTGCCAACGTTTTTTCCAATCCTCGAAGCACTTCAAAAAATTATTTTTTGTGATCTTGTTCAGCTCCTCCTTCGATGCCGTCTTTATCTCCTCAATCGTAGCGTAGCGTCGTCCTTTCATGGGCCTCTTCAGTTTCGGGAACAAGAAAAAGTCACAGGGGGCCAGATCTGGGGAATACGGTGGCTGCGGCATCATTAGTGTGTTGTTTTTGGTCAAAAATTCGCGCACAAGCAACGATGTGTGAGCAGGGGCGTTATCATGGTGCAAAAGCCAATTTTTGTTCTTCCACAAATCCGGGCGTTTCTGGCGGATTGCTTCGCGCAAATTGCGCATAACTTGCAGGTAATATTCCTTATTGACCGTTCTACCCTGTGGCAAGAACTCATGATGCACCACGCCCCTGCAATCGAAGAAAACTGTAAGCAAAACCTTCACATTCGACCGAACTTGGCGCGCTTTTTTCGGTCTTGGCTCGTGCGGCAGCTTCCATTGGGATGATTGAGCTTTGGTTTCCACGTCATAACCATAAACCCATGATTCGTCACCAGTTATGACCCTCTGGAGCAAATTTGGGTCGTCGCGGACAGAGTCCAACAGCTCCTTAGCAATGTTAATGCGATGCTGTTTTTGGTCGAAATTGAGCAATTTTGGTACGAATTTCGCGGCGACCCGTCTCATGCCCAAATCATTGGTAAAAATCGAATGGCACGAGCCAATCGATATGTTTAGGTCCTCAGCAACCTCTCTAACGGTGATTCGACGATTGGCCAATACTATTTTCTTCACTTCATCAATGTTTTCGTCTGTTGTTGACGTGCTCGGGCGTCCGGCACGCTCTTCGTCGTTCACATCTTCTCGGCCCTCTGAGAACATTTTGTACCACCGATAAACGTTGCTTCGGTCCAAGGTAGCTTCACCATATGCCACAGTCAACATTCGGAATGCGTCCGCGCACTTAATTTTGTTTTTCACACAAAATTTGATACAGATTCTTTGATCCATTTTTTGGAATAGACAAAAATCGAAGACGAGCCAAAACACGTGCAAGCAAAGCAGCTGTCAAAAATTAACTGAACATTCAAAATGGCCGAACTTGTCGGCATAAGTGAGAGACATGAGTACCAACATAACGCCACAAAAAATCGAAAATCGAATATACGTAACCCGCGGAAATTCAAAATTCGCGATACTTTTTGAACAGACCTCGTATTCTCGCAAATTCCTCTTAATAAGTGTATAAAATAACAGTTAACCATAATGTGACCGCGTATTAACTATTAGGCTATTAGATCTCTTCTTAATCGAAAAGCGTACATATACAGATTGTCCATAATAATTATAGAGCGAATTATTATCGTCATCATTTGAAGAAACACAGCATAATACATCGCCACTTTACATCATAGACAATCTGTATATGTACGCTTTTCGATGAAGCAGAGATCTAATATTCTAATAGTTAATACGCTGTCAAATTATGGTTAACTGCTATTTTATACCCTTATTCATTCCTGGAATAACACACATGGGCAGGTTTAAGAAGAGATCCTATAACTTCTTGCTATCACATCATGATCTATACAATGATCTATTTCATCAGATTGCACATGTTGTTGCTTCAGGATTAAAGTTTTTTTTTTATTATAAGCGCATGACTGCGAGAATATGTGGTACGTCGTTTGAATTGTTTTAATGTTAATTTTATTTTATTTATGTAGCATAGAAAATGACCTAATATAGGGTCGAAACGTATGTATATTTTTATTTAAATATAATTTTATTATTATTAAGTAACGATAGCGAATAACGTCTTGCTTTTGTTCTGAGCCACTGAACTTATATTATATATTAATTTATTTAATCGAACATTGAATTATTTTTCATATAATAAGTAAATACAATATAATATATCATTCTGTTGTTGCTGCTGCAGTTGTTGCAGTTGCTGCTACAAAAGAGTCGCATAACGCTTCTGCTGTTCTTTTTGATGTACAAGGACTTCCCTTAACATGCATTGAATGCATTCAACAAGGGTATCCTTTTCTAAGAGCATACAGCAGCGTCTGTAATTTCTTCTAGCAAGAACAAAGAAATGTAACCATAAAAAAGTAGATAGAAAGCTAATGTGATTTTTATGTCAAAATGACGAAAAATAAAAAAGAATACCGCATAAGAAAATGCAGTAAACGCCCGGAATACTATAAACTTATCATAACCTTATAATAAAAAAGAAAAATTGTTTCGAAATATGCGTTTGAAAATTATGTAAAACTTAACATCTCGGCCTAGCATCAATCAATAATATGAAGTTGTCACAGAGTGAAGTTGCACATCGAGCGTGGATTGTCACAATGGTGACATCAGAAAGGTGAAGCGTTGCATAAAACAGATGGAATGGGGGAATTTGACAACTAAAACGCAACCGACAATGCATGGCAATTCAAGATCACATTGGCCATGGAAAATTCATGATCACGTAGGAAATTTATAAACATACGTATGACGGAACGCGCGGGCGTTCGCCAATATTGAGAGCGCTTTCAAGTACACAATCTTAACGAATTATTTTTTTTATTCATTTGTAGTCTCAGACATTATACCAGCATTTTTAGATTTTGGTTCCAGACGACAAGCGAAGGAAATTTTCGAGCGCTCGTCCGTGCAATCGCGCGGGCTTCCACCATTATTCGGAGGTTCCGTGACCGTTATCTCAACAAATTATTTTTTTTCTATCGTCAGTGATATCAGACATTGCTTTCGTACTTTTAGATTTTTCCACAACACGCGGGGACCGCGATCTTTGTTTAAAACATCTGGACATACATTGGAAATTTTTGAACACATCTATATATGAGTGATCTTCAATTGTCTGTTATTCCAGTGTGGGCTTACCTTTAATTTTCGCTCCAGGATCGCTTCAAACTACAATCACATATTTTATTAGGAATCAATTATCTGTTCGCTGTTATCTCAAATTATGGAAATTAACTTCATTGTAGTCATATCGAATATACACATAATCATGAAACATACGAAAAATAAAAAAATTTTTATACATTTATAGTGACAGAGTCTTAACAATTTTAGAGAAATCAGATTGCTAAAATAATTACCAATTTATTCTAATTATATTGTACAGTTTAGTGCTCGTTGTTACGGCATTTTACGTTATGTGGACGGAGATACGCAAATACAACGGCAAGCGGCAGTCGAGTTGCCACTGTCGTGACGTCACGCAACACATCCAAAGGGTTGAGTCCATATCCGTGTGCGATCGTGCTTCGGTCTGTAAGGCCTGTTTCAAGTTTCAGGCGATAGAAAAGAGCTCTGACTCTCTCTCGTTACGTTCTCGCTATCTTCACTTTCGGCGCACCGAAGGCGACTAATTGTCAAAACAGCCCGTCCTTCTCTCTCTCGTCTCTTCATTCAAACGTGAAGCGCTTAGTTAAATAAACATATTCAATAAACGCGGAATACAAAGCGTATGGAAAATCACAAACATTTAATATATCGTAAATTTCCGCGTTTTGACATAATTTATTTTATTTTGAATTGATAAAAAGTGTATACCATTACTTCGTTTTGTTAAAAGTTAGATATCTTGCCAACTTTCATTGGAATTTGAATGTTTTAAATCTTCTGGACAATTTAAACAATTTTTATTTTTTTGAACAGATATGTAAAATTGACAAGAAAATTTATTGGTTAAGATCAAAAGATTTAAGATTAAAGAAGTCTCAAATAATACCGATTTCTTATGTTTGTTTCGACTTCTATCAATGATTGTCAAAATAACGTTCTTAGCATATCTAATATTAATTCTAACAATGGGGAGTTAAGTCACAATACAGAAATAATAGGTATTTCCCCTGAGAATTTCGGAGAGGCTGCTTCCCTTAATACTTTAAATGAAAAATGGTTCGTTAATCTAAGCATTGACATTCATATCGAGGTACAATACAATATTTATTGCAATTAGATGAGGGATTTGGACTCGCTTTCAGTAAAAATAACATGAATAGAACAGTAGTTGAATTCATAAAATATTTTTAAAAAACATTTGGAAATATTGATCACAAAGAGAATTATTGCTGACAAAGAGAATGT